TATATGTATGTGTGTGTGTGTGTGTGAGAATGATAAATCGGATAAGCTTTTGGTAGTTAAATTTTATTTTGTATTTATCTTTCCGAAGTATTTTATGCTAATTTTTTTCATTAGTATAAAATAACCATAATCTTATTTGTATACATTATAATATTGGATTCTGTCAATAATCTTTTGTACTAGAGAATGTCTACCCAAACCCACGTCCGTGAACTTATTTTTATTTGCCCGCCAACATTCTACTGTACTTTTATTATTATTAATATCATTTTAAATTTTGTTGCATATTTTTCCTATATATATATATATATGTCCCGAGCTTATTGGTATTATTTTTATTTTCATAAACGTGGTCATCGTATATTGGGCCCGCGAGATTAGACAGTAAATTGTTATTCGATATTGTAGAAAATAGCGACCAGATTCAGTCGACCTTTACTACGGTACTCAGTAGCAGTCTTCAGAAAATTTAATGACATTTTGGAAATTAGTACAATAGGTACTAATAACGTGTGAGCTTGCCCTTATAGATTTTAAGCAGATTTGGCTGAACATTTATTTGCGAAAAAGCTTTTTCTTCTCTAACCTAGGTAAAAAAATAAATATTAACTGTGTCTCGTATTTCAGAATTTATGTTATTATCAATATCAGATTTATCACCAAATATTGAAAAATTATGAGCTAATAAGTCATAGGTTTTCATAGGTTTCACTGGTGTTATTTTTTTTTTTTGTTAATATTACGAGTAATAAGACATGTGCAATTCAAAACTTTATTTGATTTAAATACTTATCTATTTAACTATCTATGTATAGTAGAACCATAAGTGCAGAGGCGTACTCAGGATTTTTTAATGGTGGGGGTGGGTTAGACATTTTGTTTCTTATCACTAGGACTTTGTCACCTACTTTTTAAAAATAATTATGTGATATAATATGATGAAATAATGCGACCATGGTAATGTATCATTTTTCGGCACTGATGGCACTACGTTTATAACACATTCCAACTTAAATAAGTAACACGCATAGAAACAGCATTCGCAGTGTATTGAGAAATTTATATAAGTGGTCTAGTAAATACTTACATTATTTTGGATTGTTTCCGATTCCGTCAATTGATCAACGTGTTCATGTCTTCTTTTAAGATTAATAAGATTATTGTAGGGTTAAATGTCATTATTGTAACTTATACTAATACTATCCAAACACTTAGAACTTACAGGCACACTAGTAAAAAAATTTGTAATTTATTTTTAATGTTTCGTGACATCTTTAATAACTATTGTTACAAAAACTCGCGTCCGTACATAAAGTTTCAATTGAAAATGTTAATAACAGTAACACACCGACGATGATCACTGATAAGAGAATACTAACCAGTAACCAATAACAGTGAACATTGATTTTTGATTTAAGATGTCATCTGGTTATAATAATACAGTTCTTAACAGATAATGCTTGTAATCGTTGTATAAAGTGCGTGTTGATATCAAATTTGAAATATATAAATTTGATTTATTTTTTCCCTTCTTAAAAAATTGCTGCTGTGAATTATATTATATATAAGCACGAACGCACAAGACTACATAGGTTAATGAGGTCATGGGGAAGGTTCAAACCCCATGAACCCCCTCTTGAGTACGCCCCTGCTTAAGTGTAAGCAAGTCTTATTCATAAGATGGCTCGCCAGTTAAGTGTAATTTAAATTATAGCCCACTGCCAAAATAAATTGAGAAGCCTTGTATTATAGTATACAATTAAGACGTAAAAAATATTCCTTTTTTCTTTGATGTTACACGAAATGTACAATGAAGATAATATGAAATATATTTTCTTTCACTCTGAACGGACTGTGACGTAAATATTCATTCAAATTTAAATTAACTATGAAACGCAAATATTTTCATTCAAAAAACATTTATAAAACATTTATAACCGCCTAAAACTATTTTTTCCCTCTAAAAACTAAAAAAAAAAAACTCATACCTACAAACGAGTTAAAATAATATGCTCAGATTACACTATAGGCGGGTTTTGACGGCTGTTATCTTTTTCGTTAGCCGTTCAAACTTGATATGCATGATAATTAATTGCTATCATCTTCGACGAAAATGTATACGAGATGCATACTATTAATGTAAAAGTATCCGTTTTTAAATAATAAAATAAAATGTTAGTGACTGGACTCAATTTCTTTTGTCATTTTTAAAAACACGTAGGAACTGTAATAATAACGTCTATCAGGTTTTAAATAACAGTCATATTTGTTCAATAATATTTTTTGACCGAAATATAGAGCCGCTCATCTCATTATTATTTTTATTGCAGGAATAAGTAGAAGGCACATTACATACATTAGACACTAAACACTTTTGTCTAATTTGTATTTTATCACTAGAAGATCGAGAAAAATTAATTTAACTCTTAATTTTTATAGAATCGTAATACACACAGGACGTGGTATAATTTATATGAACTTTCAACTTAACTTTAACTTTTTTTTTAACTTTTCAATGTATAGAAAATTAAATAATTCGTTCTACAATAAAAATAAATGTAAGATTATTGAAAAGGTTAAGCGCAACCGAAATCATCACCGGAAAATAAATTAATAGTATAAATTAGATAAGTAACAGATTTAAAATGTTAAAATAAACTATTTCTTATGGAAATTTATACCACTGAACTATTCATCTGCATGATGTTTATCTGCATATTTATACAGCTGTAGTTAACAATATAGTATTATCGTATTAATGAACTTTTCTAAAATTTAATTATTTTACTAATTATTTATACTGATTTATTATTATTTATTAATAACCAGGTCCATTACTTTCACTTATAAACTTACAATTATGAAATTAATCATTCGATTTTCAATGTTGATAGAAACGTACATAATAACTTTTAATACAACTTGCATGCACTGTAATTGTGTAGAAAAGAAAATTTCTAATTCATTTTTCCCCGTGGTTTAAAGAAATTTGACCATAAGTATTTGATAGGTCCTCTTTATTTAAAAACTGTACTTGAATAAAAAATTAAATTTCATGAAAATTAATTTTTACGGAGATACGAATATTTCCTTTGGATATCTCGGTGGACAACATTTTACTATTCATATATCACGATCGTCATTATTTCGTTTTTTATTTTTATATTTTTTTTTTTTATGTTTTCAAATTTAACAAGTAAAATTTAAAAAAAATATAACTTGATAAATGTTTAAGAATATAATTGATATTAATACTTTAAAACAAAATAATTGTGCCGTAAATACTTATTTAAATACTCGAATAATACGTTGTAATAAATTAATACGTCACGATTTAGTGCATTTAATGGATATAAATTTAGTTTGAAGTATAACAATATTTAGCATATTTTACGTGAAGTAAGACATAATAGTGCACCTATTAATATTTTTAAAATATAATTTATTTTATAATGTCAATATCAAAGACGAGCCAAATCAGACCTTGCCTTGTTATTTTACCGACTCCTGTTACGTTTTGCCTAAATGTATCCATGGCTTAAGACACGGTTTAAAATTTTAATACATTTTAGTCCAAATTTTTCAGATCTCAAGAAAGAAAAAAAATTCTAAAATCGTTCTGATATAGGTATCGGTGGTTCGCGCACTCGCACTTTTATCGTATACTTCCAATTTTTTCTTGTCCTACTCTTAACTGATTTAGATTATAATTATTATATACTATTTTTACATATTTTTGAGAAAAAGAAAAAAAAGAAATCCCATTTAGTTAAATTTATTTGTTTATTAATATTATTTTTTTTTTACCGGCGATTACTATAAGTATTGAACACATTTGTTTTCAATAATTTAAAAACGGTATGGGATGTAACCCGAAATAATATTAATATTATTAATAATAGATTTAAATAGTTTGCTGTTGTATCTGTTGAAAACAGTTATAATTAAATACCGTCTGTACTGAGTCGGGTTAACGAATATGCCGCCTGGAAGCAGATTTTAAAATGTCGCCCTTTACAAACCAAATCGTATCGTATCACGGATACATTATAAAAAAATGATATAAATAACAACAGTGTTAAAATTGTTTAATTAATCATTATTTGTTTTAATATAGTAGAACTGTTAGTAATAACTATAAACATTCAGCATTTAATGCGCTGTAATAATTCATATTGATCAAAGAAAAACCGTTGTGAGAAATATTAAGTTTTTTTTTTTTGGTAAATATGAATCGACAATTGACATAACTACAAATACGATCTACGAGACTCGAAAGACGAATAGACGACAGAGTAATAAAAACAATTGCTTGGTAGTGTACAAATAGATTATTTGATTTAATAAATAAAATAATAATTAAAAATGATTAATAATCAAACGTCATAAATTTGATGGTTATAAATTATGATGCACGGGTATGCAACAAACACGATTGTCATGTGTCATTGCGTTTATTGCTGTTTAACTTATTGTTGTACAATTTACACTCGTAAATAATACGATAATACGAACGAAAATATAAATGCGTCGAACGCTCAGCCGCGTGATAAATCTGCGGTATAATATTAAATTAGTGTTGTTAGTATTTGTTGTGTGCCAGTTTATCGATAATTTTTCGTGAAAACGATAACACGGTAGAAAAATTCAAAATTTCCGTTTCCGTCGTTTAGAAATTATCGACGGGGATGCAACAGGGAGCAACAGCCCTTTTGCCCCCTTTCCTGGACCCGGCACTGACCGCGTACAAAATCACTCGCCGTTAGATGACAAGCCGAATGGAGGAAAGATGGGGTGGTTAATCACCGTTTCAATAATGTTACGATCACGTATTATTACGATTATTACTGTTGTTATTGTTGCGGAAACGGACGGTTCGAATACGATCGCGCCATCTACACCGCCGTCGACTGGACGAACACGGAATCTCCGCGCCGGCAATAACGAAAACCGCCCTCGTGCAACGGGCGGCGTCATCGCGCCCGATCGATATCCGTCCGACGCGACGCCGCCGCTGCCGTTAAAAAATATTCGTTTTCGTTATCAGCGGCTGTAGGTAGTGTTCGGCGACCGTTGTCGTTCGTCCCACGTCTCGCGTCCGACGTGGTCGTCTCCGATATTCCGACCACGGAACAATAGAAAATACCGTCGTCGTCGCGATAAATAGTGATTCAGTCGCGCGACCGTTCTCACGACCATCTTCGACCGGATCGCGTCCGGGTGGTCGTCGTCTCGTACGACCAGTGTCGCGTGCGCGTATCGATCGGCGTGCGAAAACCGGACGGAAGTCGGCGGCCGGCGAAAGAAGAGGAAGAAATCGTACGTAATAAAAAATAATAATAGAACAAATAAACGACTAATTTTTTAGTACAATCCATTGTCTGGCCGCTGTAACCCGACGGTAACGCTGTTGTTGTTCGCGGCGACGGTCGAACACGCGTCCTACGACCAACGGGGCCGTCGCGTCGGCAAAATCGCTTTTCGTGCGCGTATCTGTTTCGCGAACGTTTTTCCTTTCGTACGGACCGAAACGCGATCGACGGCGAAACGTATGTACGAGAAACGTAACGTATCGGTCGTCCATCGGATCCCGTTCGAAAACATTGCTTCCCGCGATAAACATTGCATTCGAAACAAACGCTTTTTTTTTTATTTTTTAAACGCATCGCTTTCAAACACGTCGCACGTTCCGCCGTTTTTGTACACGCATTTTTTTCTTCTTCTTTTTTCACTTCGTCTCGTTCGGAAAGCTTTTTAGGTACACTTGTTCGTTCGAATCGTAATTACTTATGCGCACAAACGATTTCACTGCAACGGCATCGTCTATGGTTTCATTTTACTTGTTCGTGTACGATCGTCGTAGATTTGTATTGATCTCTTGATCCATTCGTTTTTAAGTGAATCGACACGTTGATACGATATTTTATGCGAATCGATTCATTGTTATTTGTTGATCCGATCATGTAGTACTAATTAAAAGTTATTACACATTTTATATTTTAAATTTTACCTAGAGCACAGGCAAAACTGCAAATAACGCCATCGATTGATTAAAAGAAATCCGCATATGTAAATCTATCTTTTTTTGTATTGTTCTTCTCATTCCGATTTGAATCGTTTCAAAATATCGATTCATTTCTATGAATAGCCCATCACTACCGACTACTGTTCCCATCGACGGGACTAATTATTACGGATTGTAGAACGATCTAAACAAATATGTGTTCAGTGTTGTACACCCGTACCTAGGGCGATTATTTTTTTTACCACTCAATAATTAATTTCACGTTTTAATCGATTATTTCGATTAATCGAAAATTAATATTCAAACCGAAAATTGATTTTTTTACGACTGATTAATCAATAACCGAATTTTTTAATACCTGAATAACCGATTGATCAATTTTTTTTTATTGACTGATTATCCGATTAATTGATTTTTTTAATAACTGATTAACCGATTAATCGAATTTTTTACAATGGATAAATTGATTCCTTAATTTCTACACAATTTTCAACAAGATTTGCAGGATGAAATGTTGATGTAGATGTCCAATTTTATAATATTATCCTTAATACATTCCGAATCATTGAACTCAGAAAATCATATTAGCATTTAGCACAGATTTAAAATAAAAGTATGTAATCAGGTAATCTAATATTATGTATATATTAATTAATCAGAAATTCGATTATTTCGATTATTTGATTAATCGAAAATTCAATTATTCAATTATTTGGCGATTAATCGAATCTAATAAAAACTGTAAAATAATCGTCGGGGAAAAAAATAATCGCAATAATCGAACAGCCCTACCCGTACCTGCGCCGAATTTTCTTATGATCACGTTATACTGCATTTTGCAGCGTTCTCACTTTATCGTACATTATTATTGCCCTTCATTATTAATAATTATAGTCGTTTGTTTCACCCGTTGGCACCTTAAGTATCCGCCGTCCGTAGTAAGTAATAACATTGATTATATATTACTATAATTAATATAATAACAATAATAAATACTAAATAGTAATATATAATCAATGGTAAGTTATTTTAAGTTGCTGCTTTTCATGAAATTGTATTAAGTATTGTTTTTTAGAATAATAACACTTAACGCACGATGATGGAGTTGAATTCGTATTATTATTATCGTAATGGTAGTAGTAGTACCTAATGACAGTTGTAATTATAGTATATTTATTAATCGTCCGTAAAACGCGTACAGCAACATTTTTGGTAAAAAAAATTTTTTTTAAGCATAAAATCGATTAATATTTTTATGTAACTGATTTATAAATTGAATAATAAATTTAATATATATATATATATTAGGGTGGTTCTTATATGCATAGATGGTATATTTTATTAAATATATTTTAGTCTGTATCCACTAGATTTTTTAAGTCACATCAGAAATAATGATATTTAATAATTATACTTATAATTTATCTGGGTTACACATATTTTTGAGGTTGTGATTAGGATATATTCTGTCATTACCTTAAACTGTCTGGAAGAAATTTAGAAAAATTAATATTAGCTTATATATTTACATGTAACAAAAACTATTTTTGTTCTTTGTTTTTCGTAATTTTACAGTTAAATTCTTCCATCAGCTTAACATGGCGTTCGGCGATATCTTTAAGACGGTTGAAAGTGGACCGTTTTTAAGGGGTTGAGTATAGGCAATATGTTATATTATAATGTATACTTGTCCAGTATTTACAACTCCTGTAACCACTTCTGTATTTATGCACACCGACGATAAATTATTACATTCAGTTGTTATGACTTCTAATTTGTTGCACATCATACACTTAAAAATAAATTCGGAATAAAAACCATTTTTTTTTCATTTATTAAAGTAAGATATTTAAACGAGCAGCCAAAAAGTGGGTGGTTGATTTTCTAAATCGAATCAAATAAATGATTTATATTAACAATACGTCTACAAATGAACTTAGTGAAAAGAAATTAGAAAATTATATTATATGATATGCAGTCTTGTGAAGTATTCGAATACAAGTATTTGAGTACTTGTATTTAAATATTTTTTGAAGTATTTATATGGTATTTTAAATACAATTTTTTATGTATTTTTTAAATATTTTGAATACTTTTCAATTGTGTTTTTACCAAATGTAAGTACTTGTATTAAAATATCATTAAGTCCATTTTATTAATTTTAATTTATTATTTATCAAAAAAAATTGAGATCAATAAAAATAATATTGTTTTCGTTGAAAACTAATATTATGTTTTTGTATAGTAAAAGTAGGTAATAACAATGTTACCACATTAAATACCACATTACATTTTATACAATTTCTTTATTGGAATTTTTTAAGAAAACTGAAAATGTAATAATTTCAAAATATTTCCATATAAGTTTTACTAGTATACTAAAAACTAGTAAGTTAATACCTACCACTTTTTATTTTATTTTTTTCATTAAAATTTAATCAATATTAGTTGAAATATATTGTTATCCATAAGTTTTGATTACAATTATTATAAAAAAAATTCAACATAAGTCAATTAAAAAAATTTTACGAGCGTCTAAATTTTCAATTTTTACGAGTCTAAATTCACATCCACATTACATTCTATGACCGAGGCCCACTTTATGTCCCTACTGTACGTCTGTGCAGCAGAGCGAATTTCCGATTTTTACTTTAGACCATCCAAAGCACCAACTAGATTCACTTTGTTACCAGAAACCACCCTGGGTTTTTAAAATTAAAGCACTTTTACTGCCTTAAAACATGACAGACACCCAAAAAAAAATACACATATATACTCAATAATATTTTATTAGCAGCTGTGTATCATTATTATTATTCTACTGCTATAATATTGGTATGTAATTGATTTCTTATCGCCCGTATAATAGTCACGACTAAGATTCTCGGAAATCCGTATAGCGTACCTACGCGCAGTACACGTCACTATATTTTGCGATTCAAAATGTTTCAACTCCTATGCAGCTATGAAAGTCCCAAAAAGCGGAAGAAAAATTCACTCAGTACCAAAAGCCCAATTTTAATTTTGAAAACATATTTAAATTCATAATTCTGTTTTCTAGGTTATATAGGATATGGATTTTCGATTTTTTCTAATGTTTAATTATTATAGTACCAAATTAATATTTTTTTTCCAAAATTCACTTTTACTTTAATATATTTTAATGATTCAATTATCTCTTTTCCTTTTATATACTCTTCATTTTCTATCCAGTATATTGAATCCAATGATAAAAAATTTGTCTGAATATCAAATATGTCAAACGATTTTATTGATTTGTATGTAAACCGATCGACCGGAAAATCTTGGAATATGAAATTAGAAATGTCTTCGATCTTCAGTGAATGGTTTTTTTAAATTCTATTTGTTCATAGTCCTCATACTAATTCATTAACATTTCAACTGCCTTTCTTTTTTTTATTCAATAATAATACGATTGTCGAAAGTAGAATATGTTACACACATATATATATATATATATATATATATATATATATATATGCAGATATGTATGTATGTATATACTGTTGTCCTAAGGAAGAATGTCTTTCCTTTATGTTGTTTAAAGTAAAATAAATTTTTTTTATTTAGTAGTTGTTGGTAGTTCTATTTTCATAAATATATTATTTTTTATAATAAATGACTGTACAATATATTTATTATTATAATAAAAGTTCTTGTACAATATACCTGATAAAAATGTTTATTTCATCAACATTTTTTTATTTTGATATTCATACACTGTAATTAATTTGAATTATTTACTTGACAAGAATGCCATAATTCAGGTTACGCAATATTCAGCATGTGTTTTTTTTCTTCACGTTCTAGTACTGAAGAAAATTCAAGAAAAACATGTGAAATAATACTCGATAACATTTCGTATTACCATTTTGGAAACAAAAGTATTGTAAATATTACGACTGCTTCATAACTTTCGCTGACTTTTCAAAAGTTTGATTACGAAAATTCGGATGAAAACTGCAATGGCGCTAGAATACACATTAACCGTTCGACTTATTTCATTAATTATACATGTATTAGTGTACATAGATATAAAAGCAATATTTATAAAAAACGGCTGGTAAATTACTTTCGTGAATAATTTTTTTTTTTTGCACGTTTTTATCATAATATTCGTTTTTATTAGTTCATAATGCAGGAAAACATTTGACCAAAAAATAACATTTTAATATTTATATTAATAAATTATGATGTTCTATATCGGCGAGCAGATGGATGTTATATATTATATATGTTATAGCGGATGTTGTATAGAATTATTCGATTTGAGTATGTAAAGTATGCAGTTTTTGTTTATACGATTTTTTTCGATTTCTTTTATTAGAAATTATTGAAGTATAATCTTCCCATTATGCGAGATATTTTCAATTATTCTCTTGTTGTTTAAACTAAGGTTGGTAATACACGTGTATAAAAAATTTTATACGTCCCACGTATAAAACGTATAAAATGACTAAAACGTATAATACGGTTTGTTTTTGAAATTCACTATTAAAAATTAAAAAAAAATTTCCTATTTCAGATATTAATTAAGGTTTTTAATTGTTAAACGTAGTAAAAATATGTTTGGTAGTAAAAACTATATATACATGTTATGTAAATAAATTATTAAAAATTATTTTTTTTGCAATTTTTGAATTCCCTTTTTTTATTTTTTCTAATATGTGCTCTATCTTAATAAGAAATAATAAAATATTTCTTCAGATACGGAATATAAATAACTTATTGTTATATTCATATTTTAATGTAACATTTAAATGTTATCAAGTTTCATTAACATTGCACTAACAATAACATTAGTAGTTAACAGTGCGAAATATTTGATTACATGTAAAATAAATCTTTTTCTATTTCATTTGATACTTCTTTATTAAATATTACATTAAAAAAAAAAAAAAAAAATACTCTTGTACAATATTAAAACTAAATTATTAACATTAACTATAAAATAGTAATTAATATTTATTCAAATTATTTTTTTTTTTTATTTTTATCAAACTACAACAGTCGTAGACATGAAATGTTCACTAAATGTTTATCAGTGATATATATTTAGTGAACATTTCATCGTCAACATTTATAGTAAATTGTAATAAATGATTATGATATAATTTTTAATAGATTTCTTTTGAGCTGTTTAAAAAACATTGAAATTTCCATGTTATCTTAGTTTTTTCTCGAAAATTTAAAATAATAATTTTGATTAAACAAAAAGTCATTAAAAATGAATACATTTTTCTTCGTACATATATAAATATGTATTGATCAAAAAAAAAAAATATATATATATAAATCTTATTATTAAAAAAAAAAGAAAAAAAAATTTACCATTGTTATTACTAGATATTTGCAAAAATGATTTTTAAGCGTTACAAAATAAACATATTCCTACGTATCCATAATTTTTTATATATTAGGATATTTGATCACCTGTTTAGAATCTGTTCGTTCAAAACTTGTATGTTTAGAATTTAATCTATTAAATTAATAATCAGTGGTACATCTAGGATTTTTCTTTTAGGGGGGCCCAATTTTTTTAATAAAATTGTATAATACCAACATTAAATTAATAATAATAATAATAATAAGATGAAATACAGGATATTAAGTCATAATTATACATTATAGATAAGATTATTTGATATGGTTGATGTTATTACATCAGTCAGTCGGTTTCTAATCTATAAACCTTCTAAATTCGCTCCCAAAATAATTTTATTAAATTGTTTTATTTATATTTTTTACATTGTAACTATTACAAAACTAACCGAATTCCTAGGTCAATTGAAGAGAGGGGCAACACTCCTCTGGCTCTCCCTTAAATCTGTCATAAACTAGCAAATACTAGCATATTGGTCCTTATGTTTTATTAGATAAACGGACGTGTAGCAAAAATATAAAATATACTCACCAATTACCGTTTTCATATCTTCAAAAAATATTATTTATATTATAGAGGCGATTTATGAAATAAATAAAAATTAATTAAAATTAAATAAAATATAAATATAAAAAAAAAAGGTGTCTATTTTATAATTATTACTATGCTAAATAAATATAATCAAACATATTTGGTAACATGATTTTCATATCGTTTTTAAACTGTAATAATATTTTTAACGCCTTTTTATAATGTATTTTTTAAGATTTTTAAAGTATTTTTGGACTTTTTTAGAACATCAAATCCCAACTCTGGTTATTCATTACCCATTATTATTTTGAAACATTTTTTCTTAATTTGTTATGGTATAATAGAAATACATTCCACAATAAGATATATTACGAAATATTATCGAAAAATATGCAAACTCTTTACTATTAACTCTTATTACAAATAATAGTAAACGATCTTAATTATACATTATAAAAACTTATATTATTTTCGTTTTCTGTTAATAGAGTGACAAGAATTCTAATGGTGGCGGGAAACCCTGTTCATGCCATCGGAGGAATTTTAATCACCACAATCCATGAACAATTGTAAATAGAAATTTAGAATAGACGACAAACAAGAAAAAAAACAAAAAAAACAAGAAAAAACAAAAAAAAAGAATCATTACGATTCTAGATGTTAAGTTTAGTAGATGTTAAGTATTATTGGAACGACAATATTATATATTTTTTTTTTTTTTGCATATGGTATGCCATCTAATAATCAGAAAATAATAATTGATAACGAGGACTAGGGCAACAAGTACAAATTGTGACAAAAAAAAAAAAAAGAAAAGAAAAAAAAAGAGAAGTTAACAATAATAATAATAATTATAATACAGCTGAGACGAAAATTTACAAAGGTGACGCAACAATAACGAAAATAGTGACGGAGACCAGTGATGCAGTCGGCGTCTTCGGTCTCGCCTCGGCGTAGGCCGTGCTTCTTGGACGTAGACGACGGTCGTGCCGAACAGCGGACGGTAAACGCGACGACGTCTTCGTCCGTGGACCGACTGCTGGCAGACATCGCGTTCCAACGGCAGAAAGAACGGCGACGCGCAGCCCTCCGTCGGACGAGTCGTCGCCGTCACCACGGGGACGGACGACAACCGCGCGCCGAAAGAACCGTGGTCGCGGGAACCACGGACGAACCGACGACGGTGGCCGAAATCGACGACGAAGCAGCCTCAGCGTACTGGTGGACGGACGTGTTCCTCCGGTACTTTGTGTTCGACGACGATTACACTCGAGCGAACTCGGCCGCGGCCGATTCGGACGACCTTTTGTTCTTCGTTCGGCGTCGGCGCGACAAACGCAAGAGCAACAAGCACAGATCGCCGTTGCAACAACAACCACAACGGCGACGGCGGCGGGTAAGTTCAGTCGTGAATCGTGTCTCGAATTCGTCTTGTCGCGTGTACAAAGTTAGGTAATGTAAAAAAAACGTGTGTTTTTTTTTTTTCGTCCACTCCTTTAGATCGTGTACGACACCCGGGCTTACCGCAAACAGCAGCCCCAGCAGAAGCCGACGACCATGTTGCCTATTGGCGACCCGGCGATATTATGGCCTCACACGGTGTGCCTGAACGCCATTGTCCACCGGTTCCGGTACACGTTGACGGTGGCCGTGTGCATACGGGTGCCCAGGAAATCTGCCGGTACCGGTTATTACTGCCAGTACAGCGACGATCGAGACGAATTCGAACTCGACGACGGACAAGATCACGAATACGACTTGCAGCTCCTGTCGCGCCACGTACACGTGAGTCCCGAACGATTCGCTGTCGAGCGCGGAACACGTTTTTTCGAATTTTTCTTAATCTCTTCTGTTTTATTTTTCTTGGTCACTTGCGTTGAAAACGAGCAGACGGTGTACGCGTCGACCAGCGGTCGACGTATGGACACGGACAAGGGGCCCAGGGAGCGACCTGTGTATCCGGCCGTTTGTTGGGCAGCTGACGATTACGCCGAGGTTAGTATTTTGTTCTGTGCGACCGAAATATTATAGATTCGACGACCGTTGCACGGCCACGCGCTGCTATATCGTCAACATTTCGCAACGTGCGTCAGTACACAAAAGCGCAGTGCATTTTGTTTCTTTTGAGTTTTCGATGTTATGCTGTGCGCGTGGGCTTATCTATCGTATGACGACATCAAGTATAGAAATTGTTAACATGGTTGGTAACATTCCTGTAACAAAAAGAAATTATTGCTATAATTATTCATTATCACTATTATAATGCTTACTGTGTTCTTCAATTTTTTTCTTCCGTGTCAACTGCACAATAAGTTTATTTGATTACGTACGGTTTTGTCTCCTTCGTATAAACCGTAATATCGCACATCCATCTCGGAGACGTACACAAAGATTTTGATTTATTTTAACGCTTCGACAGTCGTGATTATTTATCATCTGGTTGAGCTCGATGATTTTTTTTTCTTCGTTTTTCTTTCGAATGATAATAAAAACGTAGTTCCAACACGCTCACCACTATTTTTATCGGTTCATCCATAAAATCGAATAAGGCTGCTTTTGGACAGGTACTTTTCACTAAACTGTAGGTCCGTGGTGTGCGCACGTTTCCCACGCATTATTACCGTTCATTACCCGATCCCAATGATTTTTCTCGCAAGTTGTTCGACATCCGTTTATTGTTCGTTGTTACGCAGGCGTTCCGCACCGTGATCGTGCGACCCGGTCAAACGGTGTGCGCCGAGTTGGTGGCCGCGTGGCCGGGCTCCACGGTAGTTACCGAGAAATACGTAGACGCATCGGACGACGACTGCGACGGAGGTTGCGAACAGGACGGTGCCGACTGCGACAATCACTTCCGCGGTCGCCAAACGTCCGCGACGTCCGTCAAAGTGCAACACACGCAGAACAGAGCCGTGATCTTCGCAGGCGCTATCCCGTACGCCGCCGTGCGCGCTGCATACGAATGTAAGGTGAGAATGCAAGTCGGTGCACTTTTATCCGGGGGCGTCTCCAGACCTTAGCTAGGGGGGGAAGGGGGAGAGGGTAAATAATAAATACGTTAATATTAATGTTCACACCGGGATTCGGATACAGAGTGTCGAACCTCTTCTTTTTTTTTATCTCTTAGAATTAGTCTCTTCTATAAAATATTTGTATCGCAGAAATGTTACGTTGTTAGAAACAAATCATAATTTTTCATCATTGGACACGAATTAATTCTGTAGATTCATATAACAAAATATATGCATCTTTTGCTCTTAGGAAAACGGTCTATTATTTTTTCTACATTTAATGCAATCTGTCTGTGAATATACAAAAGCGCCAAATCTGTTAATATACTTTGGCCCATTTCACTTCTTATTCAAAAATTATTCTGTGAGGCTAGATTCACAAGGAGAGCGTTAAACGGGCGTTTATCCAACGCGCGTTTTTAGTAAGTGCTCACATGAATTACAGATTTTACGCGTTAAGCGCGCGTATAAACTATAGTAATAACTATAACCAATTGCTATAGTCAGTCGTGTTTTAAATTCTGGCGAAGATAGACGTAGCAGAAGCTGTATGATTATGGACCTTATATAGAAGAACATAATATAATGTATATTATATTGTTTTTAATATAAATTGTTTAACAATTATTGAATATTAAATATACATATAATTATGATTTAAGTAATTAAAATAAAGTAATGCACACCAAGAACTTTCTTTTTTTCCTCTATATAACCTTCTTCAGAAAAAATGAGTACTATTTCTTCCCAGGCATTTCTTTTTATTACTTTATTTTAATCACAACTGGTCATGTCCCAAATCGAGAACCTTTATTCGATTTCATTGATGAAAAATTCATTACTGAATTCTTCCATTATTGATGAAAAAAGGAAGTAATGCCTTGAAATACACGTTGCAACTGAACACGTCAATACAAACCTGTACAATGTTCAAATGGCGCGTCAACTTGAGCTGACGCGCGTTGAAAGGTTTTTTGCGTTATTGCAGCGTTGAACGCGCGTCACCATTTAACGAGCGTTATCATGTGTACAGTTAATAGCAATAAATAGTAATTGTAAATGCGCGTTTAAAACGCTCTCTATGTGAACCTAGCCTGAGTCTATATATATTTTATGACCGCCAATAGTATTTATGATAACAAGATACCCGGATTATTTACATTGTTAAAAAAAAAAAAAAAATGAAATTATTGATTCGTTTTATTTATTTTTGTGATATTATGATTCTTAATAATAATTATGTTATCATGCAGAGTTCTAATTACTATGGTTTATTTACATACTTAATATATATATTATTAACATTGTTAATAGTTTAATTCAGAATATTATATTCTAATAAGTAATACTGTAATAACACAAATAACCTGTATAATATTCTCACACATAGTAAGTCTTAGTAGTTTTAATATTTAATATAAATGCAGACTTACATTTTATATAATTAAATACAATAATAATAAGTAGGTAATTTTATTGCGATATCAACAAAATGTAAACATGTCACATTAGTATATTATTGCAAACGCATACTTTAAATAAAAGTTGGTATGCGGATGAACTGAATTCGGTTAAAATAAATAATAAATTATATTTACATATTAAACAAAATCATAACAGAATAATAAATACATTTTTTATGCCGATTAAAATTAACAAAAGAAAATAAATTTATGTTGATCACCTTTACAAATAGAACTTTGATTATCAAAATTAGAGTTAATGCATGGAACATTAAGGTTACTATTATATTTTAATCTCGTATTGTGAATATGTAATGGTTGATAATCCTTAAAATTAGTTTTGGTTTTGTACATATATAATAAAGTTTGATGTTCATGTAATAAATTAAAAGTTTGAAAGTTGAGATCTATATTAAATTTATAGAATACGATCAAAATATTAAATATGATCGCGGCTTCTTTAAAATAATTTTTATAAAAAATGTATATTTATACATAAGTAGGGTTCGGGTCTTAATGTATACAAATTGTAGAAAATATGCATGCAAATATATACTTAAAATAAACAAAATATGCAACTGAATTTTTTTAAAATAGCAATAATTTTTTTTTTTTGATTTATTAAATTTTAATTGTAGACAATTTTTTTTTTTACTTAGTATATATTTTGATATTAACAATTATATAAGGTAAACTATAATATTACTCTGTATGATGATCGATTTAATTTTCTTCATTTTCTTCTTCTACAATGAAAAAATATTTAATATTTTAAAAAATATAAAAATAATTGAATGTTTACCTGCAAAGTTATACTGTACAATTAGACATTTTCTGTTATGATCAAATTTAAACGTACGACGAGTGCTGGTCAGCATATTTTATGAATTGAAAACAAACATACCACGTCTACTGACGTTATCGGCACATATTTAAAATATACCAAGTAATTTAATTCTAAATCTTCAGGTAAACTTTCGAGACTTTCTTTGTTTCCAGATAAAATTTTGGATATTTTAACTCTTGTTTTTCTTCAAAAGTTTTAATTTTTGTTTTTACCGTTCTTCCCCCCCCCTCTGTACGCCACGGCAATACTTTCTTCGGTAGTTTATTGTCGCGACCATTTCATACTTATATTTTTTAAATTTATATTTATGTATAGTATTAAATTAAAAATAAACGGAGATTTACGCAGAAACACATAGGTATTTCCTTGGTTGCCACGCCCGATGCAATTATGACTCGATCTATGATTCGATATTTTGAGTATTAAGTATCAACCGACGTATGTCAGTAAAAAAAAAAAAGAAAAAAAGAGGATTGTTAATCTTAAGAATAAATTTCACATAAAACATAAAAATAATAATTAAATTGCAAAAATCTGTCTAATATGTATTTGCCCGAAAAATGGCAAAATATATAAAAAATATGCAATTCAAATTGTTGACTTACCTTATTGCCGGGGCCCCAAGACCTTGGTTCCACCACTGACGGCCACGTGTTCGACAACCGTGTAATCGACATTGTGTCGATCCGTTATCGCATGGCCGGCAGGTGTTGATCGGCGTCTAGTGTTCGGTGTGTGATCTAACGCGTGCGTGTTCGTATTCAGATGAGCTTGTACCGGGAGGCCGAACGTCGACGGAAGAGGCGCCGGCAACGGGAACGCGGCGGTGGCAAAAAGTCGTCGCTGGGCGCTGCCCTGTCCGCCTCGCTGACGGCTCTGTTCACCGGCGGCAAAGGGTCGGATTGCCCGTCCGACCACGGGGACTGCGACTATTATTACGGAGGGGTCAACGCTGCCGATCGAGTCGAATACGTGACTGTACGGGGCTGCCGCCCGGAACGTGGCGACGGTGACGGCGGTGAACTTTCTTCGGGCGACGAAAATCACGGAAACGTGGACGAGGAAGACGTCAGCGCCAACGGCAACGCTTACTACGACCGCACGAAAGGTCTGGCCCAGATGGCTGTCGCGCTCGGTGAGTTCAAAAAATCGTTTTTTATACGTTTTCCACCGTGCACATTGTTGTTGCCACACGTAGAAAAAAAAAATTACATAAACAGAGCCCTGCGACGTTCAAAAAGTCGGAACCTCACACACACGGGTGCCCTTTTCTATTATGTACTGCAGTAGACAGGGACGATTGATCGCGGTGATTAGACATAATATAATTTTACCGTACTTTTTTGTTAAACCACTTTTAACGGAAAATATAACAATTTTTTTTTTTTACCCGGCTGCTTGTCGGTTCATCACCAGTTGATCATCCCTGCTGGTAGCATTACGTTAGCATGTTAAAGACGTATGATCACCGTTCCCTTAAATATTTTTTATCGTTTTGAATTGTCACATATTAAAAGTTCAAAAACCTAAAATCATTAAATCCGCTTCGTACACATAGCAAGTAAGCAATAGAGAATGCGAAAATCATTTGTATTAACTGTTTAGGATATTATATAGCATAAGATTTTAGCCAAAGTAAAATTGTGTAAATTACTTTCGCATGTAATCCATTTTTATTATATGATTTTCTTTGGTATTTTTGCATGTTATTTTTCTGATTAATCTTAAAGTTCTTCTATTTTAAGTATTTATATCAAAATACACAAAAACCTAACGTTTTTGTTTGAATATGTTATATATGTATGTTATAATATAACATATTTATAGTGGTATATTGGAGGGTGTACATGGGTATACGGCGTATACTCAATACGCTATTTTTATCCATGGCGTATAGCTTATGAAAAATTAATGGGCAGGTATAATATGATACGCGGGTATACGGCCGTATATAGCTTGTAATTTGACAAATAACTACATAATACCTTGACTAATCTAATTTGTGGTTATATTTATGACGTAATTCGGTATCGGATATATTATTATTATTATTATTATTATTTTTTTTTTTTAACGAAAAATTCAAATTTGTTATCATTTAACAACAAGTTTCTGTTATTAAACAGTCATAATTAAGAATGTGTTGTTCATGAGTTAGTTTTTTTGGTTTCTACCATATGATAGTTACTACATTTAATAAGGCGTATATCCATGATTTATTTTAGCAATACATTACTGCATATTTGTGTTTATTATTGTATTTATTTCGGATTATATGATGTATAAAGCTTTGTTTATGGACAATTCAAAAGCATTATTTCATGTACGTTGCATATATATGTTATATAAATGTATTAAGACACTTGGAAAGCATTTCGATTGTACCTGTATTATAATATGACGTACTGAACATACCTAGATAATATATAATGTGCAGATATTGATACTAGTACCAGTGATTTGAATTCACTTGTTAATAATTTATTATAATGTAATTTAAATATATTATTAGGGTTATAGATATTATTTAAGTTGTTTACAATATTTATTGCTAAAAATAATATTTTAAAATAATGTTTTTTTTCTTTTTATTTTGAATCAATAACATCACGACAGTTTACCACTTTTGTCTTAATTATGTACAGTGTACTCTCGATTATCCGCGGAATAGGGTGGCATCCACGAATAAGGGAATTCCACTAAATTCAAATTGAAACGAAAATTAAAGGATTATTTAATTTAAAAAATTAAATCTTTTAATGTTATATAATATTTAAGGGAAATTTAATAAGAACAGCTTTATTTTTGGACAGTAACAAGTTTTTGTTATTTTGTTTGAAAACACTTCTTTTTACGAGTGACTTGTGATTGACTATTTTTCAACAACTAACTTAATCGTAATGATGTATATATGTATGATGTAAAGAAATATGCATTTTTAGTGTGTACTTATTTTCATGATTTGTTCCTCAGAAGACTGTGTTTAATCGAGAGTACACTGTAATACTTATATCGCTTAATATACTTATATTTATATTTTTTAATAATATTTATATTTCTTTATGTAACACATCTAGTTATAAGTACTACTATATTATATTTTATCATTTTATTATAATTAAGTTATCTAAGTATTTAAATCTTCATAACTCAAAATTCTCAAGAACTCGAATAAAGTATTTGGTGTTAAAATGTATGATTAGGAGTATTAATAAATCTCTGTAGTTCAAACTAATATAGTTATTTTCTCATTATAGGGTTGCAAAAAAACAATAATTTTTTATGATTTAAACAGTTTATAATTTTTGTTTAAAACTAAGTTTTTTTAAAATATTTTCCCTAAATGAGATAAATACTCTCATATTTTTAGCTAGAATACAGTACACGTGATAGGTATTGTTTTTATTACTATCTAATATTCAATCACTATCTACAATTTATCTACTCGTAGAATAATTTTAATTACAAATGTCGACTTTTCACAATGTGTATGTTCGTAAAGTTCATTCTGTTTTGCATAGTTTTGCATAAATTACTTTAAATTGCATACAATTTATATTTTTTATAAATAATTGAAACAATGAAATTTTTTATTCATTCGGATTCATGTTTGGTTTTTTTTTTTAACGCACAATAAACAATTATTTGTTTGAATATTTTTGAATTTTGTGTGCATATACCATACATATATACATGCTCACCAATTTTTTTTCATTAAAATTCGGGCCTTAGTTAACGCCATCAATCGTCATTGTTACCATTTGTCTACCACTGCGACCTTAGCCATCGCCACCGCCGTCGTCTTCGTTACCACCTCTGGCAAGTGGACAACCCGGGTTCGATTCCCGGCCCGGTGACTCTTCCATTTCTTCCATTTATGTAATATTTATTCATTCCGTACATTGCTTTTTAGTTTCAATAGTAAAATTTAATTTATAATTCGATCTGTATATATTTTTTATTTAATTTTCAACGTGCTGTTGCTAACAGTTTATACTAACATAAGCATGAAAAATTAAACAGTTCTAATGAAAACAATAGTCATCATCGTTTAACTATTGTAATGCAAAAGAAACTGCATTAATACTGTCAGTCACCTTCAATCTGTTGTATTTATTATATCGAGTTATGTTTAAGCACTTGTCATTGTATCTTGTTTGCGACACTTGGAGCTTATTAGAAAAATTAACCGTCATCAACGAACAACTACAGCTACAGTGACCGCTACCACCACCTGGAGACTTGTGCTCTGTCGATGATAGCCAATCGGATCTATTTATATTTTTTATTCGATTTTCAACGTGCTATTGCTAACAGTTTGTATTAAGCATGAAAAATTAAACGGTTCTAATGGAAATAAAAATCATCATCGTTCAATTACTGTAATGCAACAGAAACTGTAAGAATACTGTCAGGTAGATCCCGGGTTTCAGTGCCTTGCGGCTACAACTGTGGACCTCATATTAGCACTATGCTCGTCGAGAGCCACAGAGGTTCGGTGAGTACGGGACGGCGGCCGATCCGGCGCTAAGTCCGAAACGGCCAGCCGGTCTGGCGCACACCGAGTCGTCGTGCCGGACCACCAGCGACGGGCTGCCGACTCCCGTACCGTAAGAGCCCCCCAACTAGGGGAACTCCGAGCGGCTGATAACCGCCCGGTTACTATAAAGCGGACCATAAGTTCCATCGAGTCCAACCTCAGTTTTGGCTGGGCCAAACTCGGCGTGGCGGCAAGACACATAGGACATATGCCGGTCTGGGCTAACCACGCCTCCCGATGTACCATTCGTGTTAAGCGTCACAATGGTAGGACATACTTCAACGGAGGAGGTCAACCCACCGTTTACCGTATTAATACAGGCTCCGGACCGCCGTCATCATAGCTAATCTCCCGAAGGAAGCTAGACTGACGTGAGACGCGATAGCCCGCCCGGAAGTCGTAAAGACGAACATCCGATCCGCTGGGACGGTTCCCTAGCGAATCACCAGCCCCCGGCCCGAGCCGAGCTCAGGTCGGGTTCGGAGTAAATTTTGATCACGAGGCCGCCTCGGAGCTCGAGGCACATCGCGCATTTTACGCCACCGACACGCATAGGTAGAGCTCCCACCCCGTGTCGGCTGGGCGCAGGTCCGCTGTCCGAGGGGAAGTATTCATTTTATTTCTTCCCTCTTCCCTACCATGAGGGAGTGTTTAAATACCACTATCCGCAACCCGTGGACCCGATCTAGTCGCGTGGACCGCCGCGCCGAATCCCTATCTAGAGATTTGCTAGATATTAATACTGTCAATCACCTTCAATCTGTTGTATTTATTACATCGAGTTATGTTTAAGCACTTGTCATTGTATCTTGTTCGCGACACCGTCATCAACGAACAACTACAGTGACCGCTACTACCACCTGGAGACTTATGCTCTGCCGATGATAGCCACTCAGATCTGTTTATATTTTTTATTGGATTTTCAACATGCTGTTTTGCTAACAGTTTGTAATTAAGCCACTGTTTAACGTTATGATTTCTGTTTTGTTGGTTAAAACTTGTGTTTTTATTACGATTGCAGAACAATTCTTCCAGACTATATCTTAAGTTCTTATATAATTAAATAAATCCACGGCGACTACTTACATCACCTTTAATGTCTTAACTATTCGTAATTTTCTGATAAGTAAAAATACCGATTACCAAAGATGCAGTTACACCATACTACATTTAACTTGAGTTGAAACACGAACACCTCGACGAAAAATAATATGACATCCTTAAGAACCTTAGTCCTCATCGGGTAGTTTAATGGACCAGAACACCCGCCCAGAAATCGTGGAACGGTTGACGCGTCGGTTTGCGCGAATGACTTGAGTGCGCATGTGGTGTATGTGACAACTACCACAAAATGTTTAAACATTATGTCTAGATGTGGTATAAAATTCGAAGAAAAACTAAAGGATACAGAATTTTTACGTTATAAAAAAAAGCATGTATATAACTACAGAACATATTATTTTTTTTGAAGGAATCTTCACTTAATATTTTTTTAGATTTTTCAATTTAGTTTAATTAATTTTTAATTGTTAATTAAATTAACTATGTCGATTTATAAAACTTTAAATAAATAAAGTCTGTGGAAATCGGGTTGT